TTCCTGGATTTCAAAGGAAATTCCCAGCAGTGGATTTCCCTAAACAGTAATATGCACAACTGATTAAAGCCACATAGACAAGGCCATGTGTATCGAGCTCCTCAATTAGCTAAAGCAAAATGCAGGACTATGCAGCACTTTAAAGACTAACAAGATGGTTTATTAGATGATGAGCTTTCGTGGGCCAGACCCACTTCCTCAGATCAAATAGTGGAAGAAAATAGTCACAACCATATATACCAAAAGATACAATTAAAAAAAGTGAACACATATGAAAAGGACAAATCACATTTCAGAACAGAAGAGGGATGCAGGGATGCAGGAGCGGGGGGAGGAAGGAAGGTAAGTGTCTGTGAGTTAATGATATTAGAGGGGGGGAAAGTTAGATGTCTGTGAGCTAATGGTATTAGAGGTGATAATTGGGGAAGCTATCTTGGTAATGGGTAAGGTAGTTGGGGTCTTTGTTTAATCCCCCCCGGAGACTGTCGAATTTTAACATGAATGACAGTTCAGAGGATTCCCTTTCAAGTGCAGATGTAAAAGGTCTTTGTAGCAGAATGCAGGTGGTTAAGTCATTGAGAGAGTGTCCTTTCTGGTTGAAATGGCAAGAAATAGTTTTTTCTTTGTGATCTTGTCTGATATCTGTTTTGTGGGCATTAATCCTTTGGCAAAGTGTCTGAGACGTTTGTTCAATGTACATAGCAGACGGGCACTTTTGGCACATGATACCATAAATTATATTTCTGGATGCACAGGAATATGTGTTCTTGATCTTGTAACTCACTTGGTTAGGTCCAATAATGGTATCAGCAGAATGAATATGTGGACAAAGCTGGCAACGGGGTTTGTTGCAAGGGAAGGTACCAGGGTTGGTATTAGTGTGGTATGTCCTGTGGCTGTTGGTAAGAATCATCTTGAGGTTAGGTGATTGTCTATAGGAGACTATGGGTCTGTCTCCCAGAGCCTCTTGGAGTATGGTATCCTGTTCTAGTATAGGCTGTAGTTTATTGATAATGTGTTGGACAGGTTTAAGTTGGGGGCTGTAGGTGATGACAAGTGGTGTTCTATTGTTGGTTTTCTTGGGTCTGTCTTGAAGTAGATGGTTTCTAGGTATTCGTCTGGCTCTTTCAATTTTCAATTAGCTAGACAGCCATTGAGTCTTGCCTTTTAGTCAGACTTAGCCTTTAAAACCATTCTCTTTTACCCTGCAAAAGAAAAAAAAACAGCTTTTTCTTGCCTGCCGCTTTCTCCCCTTGCGGAAATCGCCCACACGGACTCGCCCCTCCATCTTTTTAATCTTTTAATGTTTTTACTAGTTTTTACTATTTTATTCTTTTATATATCCGCCTGAGGAGATCATTAGCAAGTCCTCCTCAGACCTCTCCCTCCTCCTGCAGGCATATACAACAGCAGCCGGTGCACAGACGCCACTGGTACCTCGGGGTGTTCTTTACAGAGCCCTGATTGCCGGAACAAAAACAGCAAGACAGCATTTTTGCTTGAATAGCAATCTGACCACTAGGCGCTCGACACACATCCTTCTAGGCGAACCTTTTTCAGCCACTCCATCCTGACAGCTGTCCATAGAGACACTATGCTGACCGAAACACCCGCCTCCAGTGGACACACTGCTTCAGAGTCACCTAAAGAGGAGTACCCACAGGGACAGCCTTGAAGAAGAAAGGGTTACTCACCCTCTGTAGTAACTGAAGGTCTTCGAGATGGGTGTCCCTGTGGGTGCTCCACCACCCGCCTTTCCTCCCCTCTGCTTTGGGGCATCCTCTCATGTGCCTACCAAGACAGAGAAGGAACTGAGGGGTTTGGGGTTCATGCATGTGTATTAGCTGCTGGCACATCAGGATTGCTGTGCATGCGCAAACAGCCTATCTAAAGCACTGCTACATGAATCTTCCGGCAGGGCACACTGGGGCGCCCAAACACCTAAAATGTAGCACCCACAGGGACACCCATCTTGAAGAACTTCAGTTACTGCAGAAAGTGAGTGACCCTCTTGATCTGGGGATAACACCCTTGCTGGTTTTGAAGTCTGCTCAATAAGTTTGGGCACACAACTGTGTGCCCTGTACGCTGTGTGCTTGTGCAGCTGTGACGGCGCGTTGGGGTTTTCCCGTCTCCTGCACCCCCGAAATGGCACGAACAGACTCCACCAGCCAGTAGAATAGAGGGAGTTTATTGCTTCTCCAGGATACAGCACAGATGTCATCTGGTTCCAGGGCAGGCCTAGGATGCCTCAGTTCCCCTTGATATGGGGGGGGGGGGGGTCTGGGCTTCTAACCACCAGCCTGTTGCTTAGGCTGCTTCCTCCATGATCCCAGACAGAGACTAACCAACTCTCTGCGACCTCCGCTGTCTGTAGCACTACCCAACATAGCAACGAACAAGGTACCCCGACTACGTCACAGCAGCCACTCAGGAAAGATTCAAATGCCACCCTGCTGATTAGCTAGTTGTGGGGTTTTTAAATTTCTGCTGGCGGTGCACATTCTTACATGCCTCAGTGCACAGAGAAAAATTATTCCACACATGGATGGAAATATTAGAGGGAACACTAGCACTGGGCGATTCCAGCGTGCTCTGTAGGCTGGAGCACAGCGTTAATGGGGCTGGCTGGATTTCAAAGCCAAGCAGCCAGTTAACTGCCCCACTTGCTAAATGCCACCTGCACGGACCTCAGGCAGTGCAAAACCTCCCGGTGCAGCTGCAAATCCACTGCTCTGCCGGTCTTGAGAATTGCACTGCACTGCATTGCATTGCACTGCATTGCACACCTGGCCAGGGGGGTGCTAGTTTGCTCCACCCCCTGCTCTTGCCCCGGCCAGCGCCTGGCATCCGCCCTCTAGCGCCAGACTGGAGAGTGGCCGCGCTCTGCCTCTCCCAAGATGGCGCCCAAACAAAGCCCTTCACCTGTCCTTCCGCCTCTCCCCTAATGGCGCCAACGCTCAACTCTCGCGAGAGCAGGTGCTTCTTTAGAACGCACGTCGCGGAGCCCGGACAGCCATGGGGGCGGGGCTTGGGGGCGCCAGTGGGAGCTGCCTCCCCGAGCGGAGCTGGCTCCTCGTGAGCCTGCAGCGCCCCCTGGGCCGGGTCTGTGGCGTTTCCATCCTCTCGCTGCAGCGCCCCCGCTGCGCACTGTCCCTCGTCCTGTTTGGCCTCGGTCTGACTTTTGAGTGAGGATGGATTTGGGCTACAGGAAATACCAGGCAATGTGATGCAGACATTAGACTAGTATAACTTTTATGAGATGTAGAAGAAACGATACTAGCAAAATGCAATAGAAACCTTCCATAAGGGAAGTTATCTTCTGGA